AAAAATTTGATCTCAGTAGGCATTCTCGAGTCACAAGGCTACAAGTTTTACTCCGATAACAATGTGCTCAAAGTTGCTAAATGAGCACTTGTCATAATGAAAGGGCCTCGGAATGGCTTACTTTATATGTTACAAGGAAAGACTTTGGAAAATGGAGTGGCTATGGTAGCTGATGAAGTGCAAAGTCATAAAAATGACTTGTCTGCATTATGGCACATGAGGTTGGGACATGTAGGAGAAAAAAAATTGCAAGGATTGATCAAGCAAGGGTGTTTAAAAGGAGCAAAAACTGGAAAGATAGAGTTTTGTGAGCATTGCGTTCTTGGTAAACAACAAAGGTGAAATTTGGCTCAACTGTTAATCAAACGAAATGAATTTTGGACTATGTTCACTCTGATGTTTGGGGGCCTGCAAAGAATGCTTCTTTAGGTGGAAAAAGATGGTTTGTATATTTTATTGATGACTACTCTCGCAGATCATGGATATATACGATGAAACGAAATGACGAGGTTCTTGACATCTTACTGGAATAGAAGAACATGGTGGAGAACAAGACTAGAAAGAAGATTAAGACACTGAGAAGTGACAATGGAGGGGAATATACCTTTGATCTTTTCTTCAAAGTGTGTAAAAAGGAAGGGATTACTCGGCATTTCAGTGTTAAACATACTTCACAACAGAATGAGATTGCAGAGAGACTAAATAGAACATTGCTTGAGAAAGTTTATTGCATGCTATCTCAAGCTAAGCTGCCAAAGAGATTTTGGGCAGAAGCTTTGAGCTATGCATGTCATGTGCTTAATCGACTACCATCAATAACATTGGAAGGTAGAACACCCTTTGAAGTGTGGTCTAGAGAACTAGCTCAGGACTACGATAAGCTACGAGTGTTTGGATGCAATGCCTATTTTCATGTGAAGGAAAGCCAATAAAGTTGTTTTTATGGGATTCAATAATGGTGTGAAAAGCTTCAGACTTTGGTGTCCGAAGTTGAACAAGATTATAATAAGTAGAGATGTGACATTCGATGAAAGTCACATGAAATTGAAGGAAAATGTTCAGATGGTGAAGTTTAGGGAACGAGTAATTGTGAATTTGCAGCCAAGTAAAGAAGCTCTAGAAGAAGAAAGATAACGTGATCAACTTGAACATGAAGAGAGTGATCGCAAAGAAGAAACACCATCAGAAGAACTAAAGATATAAGATGATTGCATAGTCAAAAGGAAAGGAAAAAGAGACATATCCCTTCCTACGAGATATAAAGATTGCATACCCTGCATGGTATGCATTACCGGTAATTGAAGCTGAAATTCCCACTAATTTTGAAGAAGCAGTAAATAGTGAAGAAGAGAGTAAATGGTATGATGCAATGGGCAATGAGATGTTTTCCCTTCACAAGAATAAAACTCGGGAATTGGTGGAGCTACCTAGAGGAAGGAAAGAAATTGGCTACAAGGTTTATGCAAAGAATGATGGAGTGGATGACAAGAGTTTGGTAAGATTTAAAGCTAGGCTAGTGGTTAAAGGATATGCTCAGAATGAGGGAATTTATTACAATGTGATTTTTTTTTTCTCTGTGGTTAAGCACTCTTTCATTCGAATATTGCTTGCCCTAGTTGCACTTTCAACCTTGAATTGGTACAACTAGACGTGAAGACTGCATTCCTTCATGGTAATTTGGATGAAGAAATTTATATGAGACAACCCGAGGGGTATCAAGTGAAGGGCAAAGAAAGATTGGTTTGTAAGCTCAGAAAATTTCTTCATGGTTTGAAGCAGTCACCCAGGCAATGGTATTTAAGATTTGACAAGTTTATGAAAGGTCAAGACCATACAAGAAGTCACTATGACCACTATGCTTATCACAAGAAATTGAAAGATGGTTCGTTCATATACTTGTTAATCTATGTGGACGACATGTTCATAGCCTCAAGCAATATTTCAGAGATAGAAAAGTTAAATGAGCAAATGAGAAGGGAGTTTGAACTGAAGAATCTCGGTGAAGCCAAGAAAATATTGGGAATAGAGATCACAAGGGATAGACAAAAAAGTTTGGTGTGTTTGTCTCAGAAGCAATATCTTGAGAAGTTGTTACAGTAGTTTGGAGTAACAAAAGACACTAAGCCTGTAGGAACTCCATTAGGTGCTCACTTCAAGTTGAGCAGTCAACAATGTCCCAAAACTAATGAAGAAAAATGAAGATGAATGGTATTCCATATGCTAATTTGGTTAGAGGGTTAAGAATGCTATGGTGTGTACTTGTCCTGATATTGCATAGGCAGCTGGAATTGTTAGTAGATTCATGCATAATCCTGGAAGAGAGCATTGGAATGTTGCTAAGTGGATACTAAGGTATTTACATGGAATAAAGGACAAAGGTATTTGTTTTGAAAGATGTGATGAAGGAATTGATAAGTTCTCAGTTGGATATGTGGACTCAGACTTTGCTGGAGACTTAAACAAGTGAAGATCGACGACTGGGTATGTGTTTACTATGGCAAAGGGTCCTATTTCTTGAAGATCAATATTACAACCAACGGTGGCATTATCAACCACAAAAGCAAAATACATGGCGATCGCTGAAGTTATCAAAGAAGCAATGTGGACTCTAGGGTTGTTAGGAGATTTAGGTGTAGAACAACACAAGTTAGATTTATATTGTGACAGCCAAAGTGCCATTTATTTGGCCAGATATCAGGTACATCATGCTAGGACTAAGCACTTTGATGTACGATATCATTTTGTGAGAGAAGTGGTAGCTGAAGGTGAGATTCGTCTAAAAAAGGTTGCTACAAAATATAGTCCAGCTGATATGTCGACAAAGGTGGTTAATGTGGCTAAGTTCGAGCACTGCTTGGATTTGGTGCAGTTGAAGCAAGTTTGATCTTGATGCCTCGTTATGGATTTCATGCCAAGATGGAGATTGTTGGATTTGGCATTAAATCAACTTGCCTAAACTAAAACAAGAATCAAACAAGGATTAGGATATCTTGGACGCAAGATATTTGGACTTGTGTTTCCTAATTTTTTTGGGATTTAGTTTTAGTATAGGATTTGGTTTCCTATATTCTAGGGACTTTGTGTAAACCTATGACATCTATTAGTATAAATAGATGGATGTGAGATAGAGTTTTGGGTGTGAAAGTTTTTGAGAGACTTAAGTTTGTATACTTGAGAATACTTTATGTTTGTGAGTTATCTTGTATTTGTTGGTAATCAATAAAGTTTCCGTTGTTAGAGAGATACTCCTATATTGGAGGAACTCTGAAATCATTATGTTTTGTTTATTGCTTGATTGGTTTTTGGTTTAGTTTACAACAGCGCCTAGACAACATTAGGTAGGAGATTTTTAAAACAGTGGTTTTTGTTAGAATAACATGGTGAGGTTTCTCTTCCCGTTCAAAGAGTTGAGCAAGAAAACTCCCAGCCTATCCCAAATTGAATTTGGTTGAGTTGTCCGCATCAAACAACAGACACTACCAACCTATCCACTCCAATCCTAGCCTAATCAATCCAAACTACCAAATCCAACCCTAGGCGGGCCACCAAACGTGCCCTTAATACTTTTCTCTATATGGATAACCACATAATTTAGAACAAATGCAAGCACTCTATTCCAATCAGTTTTATTAATACTTTGCACAAATTCTTAAATTGCCACTGGAAATTCACTCATGTCACAATTTTCACCTGAAGGGGATTTAATTGCAATCAACAATCTATCGTTAACTTAGTCAAAATTTCGATTAAAAAAATTGAAGCAGTGCATGTTTTGGTGACCTCTTTTGGTGGCAGATTGCAATTAATTAATTATAATTCAAGTGATACATTGCTTCAGTTTTTCGTTTTCCATTTTCAGGTTGCAAATTGCACTTTGGTAAAACTATAGGTGGCAAATCAAAATGTTTCCCTTATTACTTGTCATGGTGAAGAGATATCGAGTTTTGGATGCATCTAACGAGTTGAAATAAAGGTTTGTATTTGAATGAAGTTATGGACTATTTTGAAGCTTTATTTCCTTGTGAAAGATGTATCTAGCTACAAACAAAGAAAGGTTTTTGCGAATTTCGCCTTGTGCGTTCAAAAACTTAGAATCGACTATGATACTATTTATGTGAAATATTTTATCATTTGGAAAGAAACTGGAGTGTAGCCCAAACCAGTTAGCAGTTCTATGCATGGATCTAGCTAGTACGTATATGTACACTATACACACTTGTGACATTGTGAATAACATCACACATTTTCTTATGTCTTATGTTTATAATTATGGTATATGGTTATGTTTGGTTAATATGTTAGGCATTCTTGGTTTTTTTGAGGCACAATACTTTAGGGAACATGCTACAAACAAACTTCCCAAATTTACAAAGTTTTGTGCGTGACTCTCAAGAACGAAGGCTTGCAAATGACCTCTCCATCGATTGACGCTAGACCATTGCCCATTTTCATCTTAAAGGAGGCCAGCCATATCTATTTATTTTTTGTTTTAGAGATTTTAAACCATGGATTCGGTGGGCTTCATGCTTGGACCTCCTCATGACAAAAGGGCCTTAAGTGTCTGAAGGAACCGAAATTTAGTCAGCCGAAGGAAAAATAAAACTATATATGGGCTACTCTGTTAGATTAGATAGCCCACCTGAAATAAGAAAGTTAAACATTTCATGTTCTTGATTGCCACTTTTCTTGATTTTGACTTTGCCACGCATCCATTGTGGAAGGACAATTCATCATTTCAATTTTTTCTTATCAAACCACCAAATGTAAATTTGGAGAACTTTAATGATTTAATGTACAATCACATTTATTGATTACATTTTTTGTTCTTATATATAATGAATTTAACCTGTATTTAGAGAATATTAATTATTTGCGTACACATTTCATTTGTTAATTGCATTATTGATCGCATCTACGTATATAAGAGACCTGATTAGTGATTATGGTACAAATAGTTTAAATAAACAAGGCCACTTCCTAAATGCTTTAGATTTAGAAAGAAAAAAAAAAAGGACAATGCATTAGATTAGAATACAACAAGATCCCTTATTCCACCCCATGCTTGAATTTGTCATTTTAAGCTTACTTCAAACCCTACTACATACTACATAATACACTTGAAAAGAAGAAGAAAAAACCCCCAAAATATTACATCACATTAACAAAGTGTACCCACCAATATTTTTGTAATTAAAACCAAACTAATATCCTAGTAATTAAGCTCCATCAGTTCGTGAGTAGACAGTTAATGATCATGGTGGTGATGGTACAGTACTATCAAATATATCAGCAGGAGCAATGAAATAGTCCATGGAAAGCCCTGGTACATTAAACACAACATCATCAATGCTCCAAGCTTCTTCCATCCTAGTCCTTGTGTATTCCATCGACACCTCGCCACACCGGAAAACTGTGGCGATCGAGCGGCCCTGATGAGCAATGAGCACACCATCCACATCCCTATAGTCAGCAATGCTGCTTCCTATGGTGGTCTCCCAGTACACAGTTTCATTTTCTGGGTTTTCAACTCTGGTGAGGTGTGAGTCCTCTAAGTATATGAGGAGGCCACTCTTTTGGCAAAAATATCCATACAATGCATGCCTGATTACTTCTGCAGGACCCTCACTTCTTTCCATCACCGCGCTCGATCGGCGGAGACTTTTAGTACAAAGCAATCATCGTCTCCGATTCTTTTCTCTCCCAAGCATTGTGCTTTGGAAAACAAGCTTGCTGTGCTCTTTGGATCTAGGCCCTGCAAATTAAACATAGAAATATTTGTCAAATTTCTGAAATTATGAGTATATATCACCAATGTATACTTCATTTTGACTGAATGGCTCATGCACATTCTCATCGTATTATTGATCTCTTTTAATGCCTTTTTATCTTAGTTGAAAGTATTTTCTACAAAGTATTGATCAACCAATACTAAGTATATATATTAGGTAACAGTTTGTTTTTTTTTTTTTTTTTTTTTTTAATCGAAGGGAATTTTTCTTAAAGAAAAAGAAAAATAAAAAGGAAAAAAAAGGAGAAGAACGAAAAAGAAAGAGCATGTAGGTACGCTGCACCAGATCCGGCAGCATTTACTAAAGTGCAAAAGAAAAAGATAAAGCAAGAAATAATACAGAGACACTTTAGTTCAGCATATGTGGTAATCCCAAGAACAAGATGTACATAATACATATGACCGGTATATGACGTAAGAACGGCAATCACGTGCCATTCTTAGGTCGCTTTGGAGCTGTACCAAAAAAAAAAGTCTGTAGGGCAAAGCACGCGACAGTTTCCCTATCATTGTCAGCCAAGTATCATTTTATTGGGATTGTGATTTGTTCCTCAATCTCTATCTTTGTTTGGTAGAGGCTATTTCGAATAATTGAACGCTACGGTTCCTTCTCTTTATAGTCCAAAATCAAAAGTTGTTTATGCCCAAAATCTTAATAGAAATCATTAATATGTAGCATCCTAAATTTAGGATAAAATTTCTTGCATGTAACAAGAGTATATTTTACATTTTAACATTATTTAGTGGTATGATTTATGCAAGAAAATTATTGTGAGAGGAACACTGTATATGTATACCTGTATGAGGCGACGCAGTGGGCGCTGGGGGCCTTTGGCTGCATGAGTACCAAGCCAAGGAGTGTGCCTCCAAACCGTTTTGCCATCACTACCAGCCACCACCTTGTTGCCTCCAACGACCAACTCCAAAGACCACATGCCAGGCAACATTTGCCAAAGAACAAAGCACCCGCTTTCCCCACTTCTTGTTCCCGAAGTCTTCACATTTCTTCCAGCAGAAACCTCAGTTTCACAGCAAACCATTTTCACACTCCCACTTGCATACATGTTTTTGTTACACTTCTGTTGCTTCAAGCACCCCGTGGCTGCCAAGTACTGCTGTATAATGTAATGCGCTATAGAAGTTTCCTACACGTTATTTAACAAAAACTAAATTAACTAATTAATTACTAACTAAAACAATATATACCAGAAAATTAAGAGAAGATTCACTCATGCATATGAGGTTCTGTGTTCAACACCCCTCTATTCATGTATCGCCTGTACAAGATAATGAGAATGATAATATAATGTGGGTTTTTTAACTTACAAATGGGATGTCCTTAATGTGAAGGAGGTGATGATCAACTGGATCATTGGCTTGTGGAATTGGAGCAAGAGGACAGCCTAAAACACCAAGCAAGAGCCTCAAGTCTTGTCTTTTGGCTGGAATAGTACCACCACCCCCATATCCTGAGGCCGATAAGTTAGTCCCGGGACTAGGAGGGCCACCCTTTTGTACCCTAAACCATTCACGTATGACTTCCCAAGAGCTCTCCTTTTTGCCACCTTCCTCTTGCATTTCGGGGTCCGGCCCTTCCATGAGCGGCGTCAGTGGCTGTGGACACCATATCTGCTTCTTCCTTGCTTTCGAGGCCATAGTTACTTGATATGGAAGATGAAGATATATGGTTGAAGAGAAAGATGGAAAGAATGAAGGGATTAAAGTAGGGTTTGGGGTTGTGAGGTTTTAAAAGAGAGGGAGATTATGTTATATGAAGGTGGGATTGCAAGAGAGTGAGAAGGGGATTGTTTGGGGATGAGAGAGACAAAAGGGACAGCTTATCTGTCCAACGGCAGAGAATGGTAGGGTTATAATAAAACCACACTATCGCATGTTGGCCTGTCTATTACTTTATTCTTGCTCTCTTTAGGTCTCTCTCTCTTGTCGTTTTATTTCTATATTCATTATTCTCTTTCTCGAGCTGCTCAAGCCTCTCTCTTACCCAACTGAAGAGAGAGAGGGTATGTTCGGATTGGCCCATCTCAAGTAGTAAAATACCATAATGCCCTTTCCAAACAAGTTATGGAGTATTATTTCTGATTCTGGTTTTTGGCAAGTGCAATCATAAAGTTGCTAAATGGTATATAGTTGTAGTACGAACATAATGACACAGCTCTTGGTAATACACGTCGTAGTCTCATTTGTTAGACTAGACTATTGTTTTTTTTTTTTTTTTTTGTGTGTAAAAAGACAAATATTTTAACTACGCGAAAGAAATTCGAACTCGAAAATAAGAAGAGTAATACGCTTCCTCGTTAAATGCATGTATTGGGAACTTGGGAGTACTTTTTTTGTGAATTTACACAAGGTTATTATGGTAAGTTGGTAACACAGGCTGAATGACTGCAGGGCTTTGCACCCACTCCCATATAGGACAAATCTACCAAATCTTCTTTTACATGTTAATTACTCTCTCAGATCAAATTATCAAAATCAAATCCAAAAACAAGGATCTCGTTCTGCTTAGCTTAAGCACTTTAGTCCTCGGTATCTGCCTCTCATCTTTTGATTCTTCTCTCGGTCAAAACACTAAACACATGTTCGCAGTTTCCAAAATGGGCCCCACCCAACCCAAGAATAATATAATTTGTCAACGTGGCCGGCTGTGGAGCCCTGATGGAATAGTGGGGAGAAGGTGGGGCCTACAAGAGTCGGGCCGGATGCTGGTCCCAAATCCAATTAGGGCAAATACAAATGAAATGATATAAGCAAGTGGCAGGTGGTGGTGGTGGTGGTGGAAGGTCGGCATCAAAGACAAGGGAATTGAAATTTGAAGGGTATATGACGGATTGAGGAGAGGTTGGGTGTGTGTGAGTGGTGTTGGAGAGGCGGATGTGATGGGTTTAAGGTATGGGTGATCTTTCAAGCCAAGCTCTCTCTTTGTTTGTTTAGATTATATTGGGAAAGGTTCAAGTGTGGCTTTCAGTTGTTGGGAGAGGTTTGTAATTGCCACGTTGGCTTAGATCCTCAAGGAATTGTGCATTTCAGCCCGTGTGGCATATGAATTTGGGATAACAAGCTTGTCCATCATTGTCAATGTCCGGAGACGTTTGGATCTTTACTCAAAATTTGTATCTCAATACTAAAAAATAACTACCTAGGAACTTAGGGCTTGGGTTCTTTGATCTTTGGTCCATAGCTTGGATCCTTATCTATAGTTTGTTAATGCCCATTCCATTGGTTGGGAATGAAAAGGAGCAATCCTAAATATATGTAGGATTGACAAAATACACACACACACACACACATATACACATATATATATATGAACAAAACAATGGAACGATCATTCTATACGAATATAGAAATGTCATTCTGCTGTTCAATCCAACAAACCAAATACCTTTTTCTTATCTATAGTTTGTCACTGCCGGTTCTATGGGCTTTTAGTGTTTTTATGGTAAGTTTTTTGTTATCTCAAATCCCACCCCTCCACCTATGGTTTTGATGAATTTCTTTATTTCTCAATTTTGAAATGATAAGCTCCACCACTAATCATAATGCAATAACTATTATTATTACCATTTTCACCATCATGTCGCCATCATCACCTTACCATAACCACGCCTCCACCCCTATAGCCACCACCCCCGTCACTTCCATGAGCATTATCGCCAACTGTACTATGACTACCACCGACACTACCATGATCAACAACAATCCTACTATGACCACCACTGTCACCATCTTGACCATGACCGGCACCTCCACCACCATCATCACCACCGTCCCCATCCCTACTCCTCCACCACTCCAACAACACCCTGCCACCACAATGACCACCTCTATTATTATTGATGTCACTAAAGGCACCAACTTTACTACCATCATCTTGCTAACAATTACTACGTGACACTTTCACCACCATCGTTACCACTACCACCTTATACGATGTAACGCCCTGCCCCAAAATAATTATTTCGGAAATAATATCAGTGATAAGTCCAAACTAAACTCTTGTTTAGTTAACTACCATTAAACACAATTCTTTATGTACATTTATTAATCACAAACCAAATCTATAACCAAAGTTTACTTACCAAAAACATAAGATGAACCTTCATCTTATTCACCAAATTTCTTTTCATAATTCAAATTCCCAACAAAAATTTTTCTCAAATTATTTAAGAAATTCTTAATTTCTCACAAAACCTATAGCTAAATTTATTTGACCAAACAAAGGTTAAATTTATACTAAACACCCAATCCCTTTTCTTCTTTCAAATTTTCGATAAAGGTTTATCTTAGTTATTTTTAAGGTTGCAAATGACTACCGTTAGACTGTCTACGTACCCTTGAACGGGATCAAGCCCTTCGTAGTTCACCATTCAGTTTTAATCCATTTCCGATTATATTCCAAATAAACGAAATATCCAACTTTAGTTCTAATGATTGAATCACCTCCAATGGATACCAAATTCGTATTTAGAATATATCCAAAATTGTACAAAATGGTAGCATCGGCCCACTGGCCACGCGCCTACCGTGGGTGGCGGTTTCCGGCGAGCAAAAACCCCAAATTCCGGCCAACACTAAAAATTACCAAATTTTACAGGAAAGTAGATCTCAGTGAGGGGAGAATTTTTTATACTTGTGGCCAAATCCAATTTGGCCGGGAAACACCCCAATCTTCCTCGAACCACCGGAAAACCCTAAAAATGGGTTGTTTCAATCCATCACTTCCGGTGCTCCACCGCTCCTAAGGTGGTTTGGGCTTTGTTCTTGGGATAAGGGAAGTTCAATGGTGGTGGAGATCGAAGGAATCCATTTCAAATATGGTGGATTGAAAATATAGGACCCTTATACCCACCGGTGCATTTTCACCAAATTCAAACCATTTTCATAAATTTTGGGGTGGAGTGGATGGAGGCAAACACTATTTTCAAGTATGGATCATTTTGGCACCGGTACCGTCGTTAATGGTGACAAGAATCGGAAAATATGACCGGGTCAGATCGGCGAGTCATAGGGGATCCGGTTCTCTCTTTCTTCTCCCTCCTTTCCCCTCCTTTCCTTGTTTTCTGATTGTACAGTCCCAATCCCTCCCCTCTCTCCTTTCTCTCCTTCCCCTTTCATCTTAGCCACCCACGTGGCACTCCCATTGCTCCAGATTTTCTAGAGCCTTCTAAAATAAATGGAAAAATGACTATTTTGTCCTCAAATCCAATCGTTAATAACTTCTTCGTTATAATTCCATTCAAGAACGGTTTGCGCCTACGCTCTCATGAGATCAAGCTCTATTCGAAAATATAAATGGTGACCTCGAATGGTCTATAGATTTTAATTAATTAATTTCGAAACTTCACTCTTTGTAACTAGTTTAATTAAAATCTAAATTCAAATAAATTAATATAAATTCTCGAGAAATAATATAAAATCTCAATAATACAAATACGTAAATTATAATAATTTCCGGAAACAAAATTTTAAAATTCCTTACTTAAATTTGCATAACCATAAATCAATTTATTTTTTATTTTCTCCACATATTCATAATTATGAATATCTAATTTATATATTTAAATTTTCAGGGTATTACATAGGACCACTTTATCATGGTCATCATCAACATTTTAATAGTAAAAATTTAGGGAATTGTTATTAACACTCCAAAAATCTCATTTTGCACTCCAAACTTTCTATAATTAGAAAGAAATAAATTGGTCATTAAATGTCTATGACAATCCATATAATCTAAAAAATTATAGTATTGAACTCTCTAAAATTATGCAAAAGTTCCACAAAAGTGTATCATAAAAAGCATATGAAATATTATGGAGTTTATTTTCTTTTTTGGCTGAAAAATATTATGGAGTTTATAATAGTCAATAAAAGTCTACTTACATGGTGATATAAAAAACTCAACAAAAGTCTATATAAATCTTAATACACTACACCCAAAATATATTTATTCTCAACTTTCACTACTATAAAAAGTCATCAAAGGAAATATGCACGTAAAGCAATGTCTAACAAACTAAGGGAAATTTTGTTTGAACTCAACAATTCGTCATTTATATCCAACATTCTTCTACACTCTGCAATTTATTTTAATGAAGTTTTGATTCTCCTTGCTAACAATGATTTTATGTGGTCTCGCTCTTTCGGATAACTTTATGTGGCTTTGCTATTAGATGATGATCTATTGTAATCATCGATACGAATATGTTGCGTCTAATGTTGTGTAATAGATTAGTATGGGTGCCGTGCGTAGTTTTCATATATGCGGTAGCCATTTAGAGATTTATTATAGTTGTCTTGTTTGAACAAATTAGCTCAAATCATTTTCTTAATCACTAAAGCATGATGCCCAACTAACACCTCTATTTATTTGAGATGATCAATGAAATATCAATCTATCATTTTTGTCAAAAATTTTCTTTTATGATTCTCCCTAGACTGGCATTTATTCCTAAAAGCTCTCATGCAGAGTAAACCCACAAACCACATCAAGATATCTTGTCTTCTTCCTCATGACATTATCATTCTCTCCTCTGGTCAGGGAAAATGAGGAGGTATACACTTTTTATGGTGCAAAAATAATTAGAAAGAAAAAAGAAATTGAACATGTGGCACATTCTGATTCTGCCACATCTGTTTTGTGGCTTGACCCAAGTGCCTCTCTCTATGAAACTCTGACTGAATAATATAGACTCGTCCCAAAATGTGATCTAGGTCGAAGCTCACAACTCGTAATTCAGAATTAGAATAATGAACAAAAATATATCTTAGAAAATCAGAATTTATTTTTCCATTTTCTTTTGTATGATCAGTTGGCCTCTTCGTTATGCCAAGGGACATACAGCACTTGAACTCTCCATCTGCTACTTGTTATTGTACACGTCATATCTACTGACAACAAACGTTGTTGTTATTGGTAAGGACAAGATAACAAACTTAAATATTGAAAGTGAAGGTGCACACCTTGTACAAGTGTCTACGAAGAACCGATGCAATGCAAGAAGACTAGTAGGTTTAGCGAGTCTGTCAAAAATTAGTGTGTCGTAAGAATATGTGGGAAAAAATAACTTAAAAGAGTGAGTTTAGCGAGTCTGTCAAAAATGCTCTAGCTAGCAGCTATATCTAATGGCTGATCCAACCCCTTTTGGCCTTGATCCAAACATGGAAGACCCAGAAACTCTGAGGACCAATCTCCTCAATTCCTTGGATCAAATAATTGAGCAAAATCAATCAAGTTTTGGGTGGAAACAATTCCTCCAAGCCATCCTTGTCTCTTTGGCATCACTCTTTGATGGTCAACAAACTTTCATCAGTGTCTACACAGATGCAATCCCTACATGGCACTGCTCCACCACCACCACCACCTCATGCACCACAAACTCCAACATCTGTGACCTGGCCGACTCCGATTGGTCCTGGGATTCAACTTCCTCCACCACAATCATATCTGATTGGAGCCTCCAATGCTCTAGCTCATTCATCAGAGGCCTCCCTGCCTCCTCCTACTTCTTGGGCGGTGTGGTCGGTGGGTTCCTTCTAGGAACCCTAGCTGACTCCTCACTCGGTCGCAAGAAGCTCCTCTGATCTCTTGTGTAACGATGTCCTTAGCTTCGTTTATCACCATTTTCTCCCCAAACGTTTGGGTTTACTCAGCAGTCAGATTCATAAGCGGGGTCGGCCGCTCCTCAATTAGTACATGTGTTCTTGTCTTGCTTATGGAAAAAGTTGGGAAGAAATGGAGGCCTAGAGTGGGAATCATGCAGTTTTTTTTCTTCACTCTCGGGTTTTTGTCACTACCACTGATTGCTTATCTCAACAGAGCTAACTCATGGAGAGCCCTGTACTTGTGCACTTCGATTCCTGCAGTTTTATACTGCTTACTGCTTCAGTTCTTTGTCAGCGAGTCTCCGAGATGGCTGTTCATGAACGGTAAAAAAGAGGAAGCTGTAGCGATACTGTTGAAATCTGCCGGACAAAATTACCCAAGTGAGTTAAAATTGTTGTTGGTCTCATCTCATGAGGTGGAGGTCGACTCTTCAAATACCAGTAATCATCCGTACAAGTCAATGAAGGACTTGTTTGCAAAAAGATGGGCTATGAAGAGAACCCTAACGGTAATGGTACTAGGGTTTGGAATCGGAATGGTGTACTATGGAATGCCATTAGGGGTTGGAAGTTTGGGGTTTAACATTTATTTGAGTGTTATGTTTAATGCTTTGTTAGAAATACCCTCGTATCCAATTACTTGCATTATATTGGAAAGATGGAGTAGGAAATTTTCAGTGCTCGGATTTTGTTTAGTGAGTGGAATTTGTGGAATTGTATGTGCAGTTGTAGGGCAAAAGGGGGTGAGAATTGGGTTGGAATTGGCTTCTTTCTTTTGCTCACGAACGGCTTGGAATCTGATTTCTATGTTCACAGTTGAGTTGTTTCCGACTTGTGTGAGGAACTCTGCTACATCTTTGCTGCGGCAGTCTTATGTGTTGAGTGCTGTTTTTAGCTCGATGTTAGTTTCTGTTGGGAGCAGCAATGAGTTTCTTTCTTACGGCGTGTTTGGATTGGCTATATTTTTTTCTGGATTTTTTGTGGGATTTTTGCCGGATACAAGAGGTGGAATGCTTTGTGACACCATGGATGAACAAGAACGCAAAGAGAATATGATTTTGAGGTGAGATTTTGGGATTTTGAAGTTAGTTTATTAACAATTTTATCACTTGGATCAGTTTATTATAATAAAACCAGATCTTGGCATCTTGGTCCAGTCTGTGAGTTAAATTTGGGCAAATATTTTGGCATGTGCCCTCCTGTGTCTGTGGATTTGATTAACGTTTTAAATAAATGGTCTCCCAGCTTCATCAAAGTAACACGCTATCTGTAATTAATTGCAAAGAATTTTTCATTCGCATGGAAGCCTGGCCTCCATATGAAGAGAGCAGAGCCCTGAATTTGTAACACATGAGGAGATTGCAAACTGGGACGTACCTTATGTCCCCTACTTTTATTTTATTTTATTTTTAACAAACGATATTATTTACGCTAATGGAAGGAAGTGAGTTTAGCTTGCACAATAAGTTAGCAATAATGTGGTTCAATTCGCCTCTGGCGAGAATACTGATCGGATGGGATATTGTGAAGGAGAGGAGGAAGAAAAGGATCGGATGTAACGGTAAAAATCAAAGCTTTGCATTTTGGACAGTTTTAAGTCCTTATATGTGATTTTATTAAGGGTTAAACTTGTGAATAAATTTTTTTATTAAGGAGTGGTTGGAAAAATAAGAGACAAAGTGGCCATATTTACACTCATTTTTTTATTTTTAGTTTTCATTATTAAAACATCTCATTTTGGTCATTGAGATGTGAAATCAATAGAAATTGTTCCTAAATTGTTCACCATCAATCATTTTGGCCATTCAAGGAAAAATCTTTGTTAAATAAAAACTAAAAAGACAAAAATACCTTCAAATCTTATAAACTATGGTGTTTAGGGGTATTTTTGTTCTTACTTATGAATTTTTTAGGAATAATCAAAATGATTGAGGTGGACAAAATCAGAGACCACTTCTATCGATTTTGAACCTCAAGAATCAGAATGAAGAATTATACCAATCTCAATGATCATTTTGAACAGAAAGCCAACAAAAATTAAAACAAAAGCCAAACATGCCACAGTGACGCGGTCATTGAGATGAGGTCGTTATAAGTGGATATCTCCCACTAGTATTTGCATGGTGACTATTTCTAATTTTTGCTGCATAACTGTGTAAGTTGACAGTCTCACTCTGACCTCCTATCATCACGCTTATCTGATTATCTTGATCCTCGATTCCCGTCATTGTAATGTTCACCTCCTCATCTCCTTCTCATCTATAAAACCACTCCAATTATTTTCAACAACCTCCTCACTCCTGATCGCCATTTTCCTCACTCATCCACACTCCTAATTGCACTCATTTTCTCTATCCAGAACCACTCTTTGCAACAATGGCAAAAAACCCAGTTCGAGTTCTTGTCACTGGTGCCGCTGGTATGATCATCTTTTCAAAATTAACTTTCTTTTTCCAGTATTTTTCCCTGTTTGGATTGAAATAAAATGTGGATGTACTGAGAAGAATTCAAAATTTTGGTTATATGCATTTGATATTTGTTATGAAATCATTAAATTTGGGATTCTAATTCATGATCCAGAAAACCCAAATCTCCTCCCAAAGTCTAGCACCATTATTTAACTTTCCAAGATTTCATATTATTACTATTATTATTATTAATTTCTTGTATTCCTTGGTTCTGGAGGAGGCCAAACAGAAGGACATGTTCTTTTCTTTGGAATATAATTATTAAGAATTCTGTATTTATAAATATCTTGTGGACTTTGTTTTGGTATCTGATTGCTTTGTTGAAGAGGTGTCTCTGTTCGCTGTAGATTCTTCTTCTCATGGATGGTATTTTTAGACCTCTATAAAAACTTAGGGTTGGATTATTTTGATTTTAACGGGAATTGTTTGTTGCATATCTGTTTGTTTCTTGAGAAAATGGAGAATATTGTAGCTACTGCTTCAGAAAATGGAGAATATGAATGTGGTACTGGTTCAGAAAAGTTTGATTGTTCTGTTCACTATTGCCTTCTTTTGGAAGCTCGTAAAATATATGTGGAGCTTCTTGAGTATGGAAAAGGATCCTGTGATTGTTTTGGTCACTGGTGCTGCAGGCATGCCATATATTCTCATATCGATAAACCAGTCTTGGATGATTTCCTGAATTTATAGCTAATCTTAATGTCCAATTTTATGATATTGAAAATACTTGCCATACAATTCTAATAATTGTCTGTCAGCTTTTTAGGGTTATGAAAAGGGTCATGCTTTTAAATGTAAAACTTGTGTTCGGAATTCGAATTCTTGAAAACTCGCTGAAGGTTCATACTTGATGTTGAACAGGGCAAATAGGGTATGCTATTGTTCCGATGATTGCGAGGGGGGTCATGCTAGGCCCTGACCAACCTGTAATTCTGCACATGCTTGATATTGAACCAGCAGCTGAAGCCTTGAATGGGGTGAAAATGGAACTAATTGATGCTGCCTTTCCTCTTCTCAAAGGTAAAGTCTGATCTTGAACGCATAATACTCCCTTTGAGGATCATTCTTATTAAACTTTGCCGTATACATGTTTGTAGGTGTTGTTGCTACAACAGATGCTCAGGAAGCTTGTAAAGATGTCAATATTGCAGTTATGGTCGGCGGATTCCCACGGAAGGAAGGTATGGAAAGGAAGGATGTGATGTCAAAAAATGTATCAATCTACAAGGCTCAAGCTTCAGCACTAGAAAAGCATGCCGCTTCAGATGTCAAGGTGAGAAGCAGAACGAAATACGTGCATACCACATTACTTTTTTATTATCTTTTATTATCTTAAGCTGATGCAGTTTCATTGCTTCTACCATAGGTTCTGGTGGTTGCGAACCCAGGCAAACACTAATGCACTCATCTTGAAAGAATATGCACCTAAAATCCCAGAGAAGAACATCACATGTCTTACAAGACTAGATCATAACAGAGCTTTGGGACAAATCTCCGAGAAGCTAAATGTTCATGTTGGTGATGTAAAGAATGTTATCATCTGGGGAAATCACTCTTCAACTCAGTATCCTAATGTCAATCATGCAACTGTCACCACTAGCAGCGGAGAGAAACCTGTCAGGGAACTTGTGGCTAATGATCAATGGTAACTCTAATTTTTCTGACCTTAAAATTTATTATAAATATTTTGAAATGACAAAATGCTCAAATATAAACGTGGAGAATTTTGGGTGTTCAAAGCTAGAAACTCATCCTCTCCTTCGCACAAATTCTTCATCCGAGTTTGATAAATAGAAAGGGCCAGTATGAAATGGTGTTTATTTGTTGTTCAACCATGGAAGGACAAAATTTCCGACCTTTCATTCATCAACTTACTATTTTGTGTCACTAATAGGCTGTCATTTTTTGTTCTTTAGGTTAAATAGCGAGTTCATCACCACTGTGCAGCAGCGCGGTGCAGCCATTATTAAGGCTCGGAAGCTATCCAGTGCATTGTCTGCTGCCAGTTCTGCTTGTGATCACATACGTGATTGGGTTCTTGGGACTCCTAAGGTTGCTTGCTATCTTTATCAGTATTCTTTTCTTTCAAAGCTAACTTTTTTTTTTTTTTGTTTCTTCATATACTTTATACAAATTTAATATTTCTTTGCTTCTATGAATGTCATCCAGGGGACATGGGTTTCAATGGGTGTGTACTCTGATGGTTCTTATGGAATCCAGCAAGGCCTAATCTACTCCTTCCCTGTTACATGTGATAAAGGACAATGGTCAATTGTGCAGGGTAAGTTATAAGATCATGACCACTGTTTATCTTCCTTCAGCGATTAAAATCCGAGTGTTAAACTCAAATCATGTTTAGGCAGCAACAAATTACTGTCATTAAGGATAGTCAAATATCTTCATATCCGAGAAATGGTTCTGGAAAATAAAGTTGGAATAGATTCAAACGCATTGAGCTGATACTTGTCGTTGCTGAAAACTTCATATTTACGGTTCATGGATAGATTTAACCATGTATCGATCCATTTGATATTTCAGCATTCAATATTCTGAAGTGTTTAAGACATTGTCTACGTAAAAACTCATCCTCTATATGAGGCTGTTTCTGTGCACTCACCAATTGATCAACTTTTAATTATTTTGAATGCAGGACTCAAGATTGACGATTTCTCAAGGGGAAAGCTAGATGCAACTGCAAAAGAGCTCATCGAGGAGAAAACATTGGCCTATTCATGTCTCAATTAATGTTGAACGTTTCTTTTCTCATGGAATAATGGTAGGAGGGACTCAATAATCCATCAAATAAATTAAGAACACAAAATTGTTATTCAATGTTAGTTTTTCTTTGGTAAGATTTGTTCATCACATTGCATGCATGATGCATATATGCTCAAAACAATAACTACTGCTATATACTCGGAACATAAGACCCTATTTGAGAAAACATAGGATGTGATTGGGGGTTGATCACTTAGGGATTTTTTTTCTTTCTATACAATGATACTGCTGTAAAAGGAAAATGAACACCATACCTCGGGTGCAGGGATAAACACTCTTAACCATTTCAACTACAAGTCACTTGGATAACCTTGAGATTTAGAACTGGGATTTTTTTATAGTAATTTAGTAAATAGCAAGTGGGACTTTGTGTTGATAAATTTCAACACTGGTACTGTGCGGCGCAATAGCCAGTAAACAAAAGGGAATAGATTGGATTAGTTGGCTTCATTTTTTTACTGCCTCTACTGCATACAATATTGTGTTGCTGATTTACACAACAGAGTCTTTCCCCACATGTGTGAGGATCTGTGCTTGCAACCTCATTGTTTAGGCAGGCCTTGGTGTTTGTTGTCTGGACCAGTGTTTAGTCCATTGCCGGTGGAGCTCCAGTTTGTGTTACCATGGACCAGCAAAATTATATATCCAGTGGGATATACAAATCATATTTTTCTCAGTAATTATGCAATAAAATCCCAACAAAATCATATATCCAGTGGGCTGCAAAGTATATATTTAATAATAAAAGATTTTGCTAGCTAATTTGCAAGCGGTGGTGATCATCTTGAAAACCAAAAGCTCAAAACCATTGAAGGTTGTTCCGGTTAAGAGGCTATGCCAGAGTGTTGCTAATTAATTTAATTTCATCAGTTTCGACCTACCACCCTTTTTTGTATGTTTCTCTTCACGAATGTTGAGCCTTGCGATTTTCAAGCATTAAAACGTTTCCATGTGCAAGGCATGATTAGGTATAAAATTCATGTGGTCTGACACACATTATCATCAATTTATTTGCATTATAACTAGTTTTCTATTAATATTATACGATCTGAGCTTCAAACAATATGTGTCTTGTGTTGCTGTGTTAGTATTAAATGGACTTCCAAATATTCAAATCCATGAAATGATCAAATCTACACTACTGAGTATTTAGGTATGTATAAAGATACAAGTACTTTTTCCAACAATAAATCTTGTTTTCATTGTGGTGAGAACAAACTTGCTTGCAACGGATTCATACTCTTATTAATCGTTTTTATTTAACCCATTACATGACTTGTCACGTGATAAGTAAATAGAGAAATATATGCTAAGATGGGTTAATAACGTGAGATATACTTAACTCCTCACGTGCATGTCAGGACCTATTGACGACCTAACATTTTTTCCTCGTATACAAGCGTCATTATCCAAACCGTTAATTATCTAAAGATCATCTCTTAGAAAATCTATTTAAGGTGAAGATTATTTTTAGTCATCCATATTTGTTGAATAAATAGATGATTCTGATAACAAGTAATATCATCGTGATTTACTGTCATCTAGTTTGATTTGTATGAATAACTAAATAGTATTTAAATCAAATGGAATATTTTTTAGAGATGATTTTTACATGATGACAAATAGAATAAATAATTCAAATTATGAAATTATATGATTAAATGATGTCATGAAAATTTGACTTGTAAGGAGCCAATATCTAGTAACGTGAGCCACATTGTGCGCAGCCGGCTAAAAACTTCATACTTTACACTCAATTGGATGTTTGCCATTTATTATCGCACCTAGACTATTAATATTAGATGTGATATGCTTGAGAAACGATGATACATCTCTATCTTTTATATCTGTATAATCCAACTTTGGTGTGTCTTTGTACTAGCCTACCGAATTAATGAAACAGCTGTATGATACATCGTTTTTTATTCTTTCACATCTTCATTTATTTAAATGGCAGTAAGACAATAAGCTACATAATCAATGACAATTGACAACTAATTAACATTATCGACGACAACTTTGACAAAGTTCGCCCAGAGTTCAAACCATTTTTTTTTTGTTTTTTGTCAATTCAAACCTTTTCTTTTTAGCTCCGTTTGTTTCCTCTAGCTATATAAAAACCTTAATTGTATTTAACTATCATATCTCAAACCTTTTCTTTTAGCTCTGAACCAAATGGCCGATTCAACCCCTCTTCTCTCCGAACCAAACTCGGATGAGCCACAACCCCCTGTGCTCCACAAACACCTCCCATCCCTCGACTCCATCATCGAGCGGTGCATCGGAGATTTTGGATGGGCCCAATTTCTCCAAGCCATCCTTGTAGCATTCTCATGGTTCTTTGATGCCCAACAAACATTCATCGCTGTCTTCACTGACTCTGTGCCAACATGGCACTGCGCCCACCTCACTGAGCTACCCAACTCATGCAACTCAGCCTCCAACATTTGTCAACTTCCTCAAAACTCATGGGCCTGGGACAGGGCCAAACACACTTCCATCATCTCCGAATGGGGCCTCGAGTGCTCGTCGTCACTCATCACGGGACTGCCGGCCTCAGCCTTCTTCATAGGCTGTTTAATTGGCGGGCTGACCCTGGCCACACTTGCTGACACCTCACTAGGTCGCAAAAACATGCTCTTTCTCTCATGTCTCATCATGTCTTTATCCACCTTCCTCACTGCCTTTTCCACCAACATATGGATGTACTCCGTCCTCCGATTCATCACCGGGTTTGCCCGTGCCACCATCGGTACTTCCGCCCTTGTCTTATCGACAGAGCTCGTCGGAAAGCGTTGGCGAGGACAGGTTGGTGTTATGGGATTCTTCTGCTTCACTCTAGGGTTTCTCTCCCTCCCAACTATAGCATACGCTCATAGAGCTCACTCATGGAGAACACTCTATTTTTGGACCTCAATCCCCACATTATTGTACTCGATAACGGTTCATTTTTTGGTTCGTGAGTCACCAAGATGGCTCTTCGTGCGAGGTCGAAAAGAAGACGCAATTGAAACCCTAAAATACATTGCACCCGTCAATAGTACTACAACCAAAACAGCACTTACCTCGAGCTTTATTTCGAGCTTGTCCTTTGAGCATGAAACAGGGAACGTCGATCTCTACTCTGCAATCAACGCTTTGGTGAAGCGAAAATGGGCTTTTCGGAGATTGTCCGCGGTTATGGCAATCGGCTGTGGTATTGGAATGGTGTATTATGGCATGCCATTAGCTTTGGGAAGCTTGGAATTCGATCTCTACTTAGGCTGTCACAGCTCAACGCCTTGTCCGAATTGCCAGCTTCATTAATCGCATTATTTTTCATCGACAAAATGAACAGAAAAACCTCAATCTTGGTTTACACTGTTCTTAGTGGGTTCTGTAGCATCATGTCCGTGTTAAAAGGTATCCATCCGATATGGACAGGGTTGCAAATAGGGTTCGAGCTGGTGTCTTTTTTCAGCGCATGCTTGGCTTTCAATGTGTTGCTTCTATTTACAATTGAGCTATTTCCCACTTGCGTGAGGAACTCGGCTCTTTCGATGGTGAGGCAGGCGGTGGTGTTAGGAGGCGTTTTTAGTCCCATGCTGGCGGCCTGCGGGGAGAGACAACGGTGGGTTCTTGTCGTATGGAGTGTTTGGGGTTGTGGTTGGGGTTTGTGGGTGGTTTGTGGTTTGTTTGCCAGAGACAAGAGGGAGAGGAATTTGTGATACTATGGATGAAGAAGAGTACAAAGAGACAGCTGCTTGTAATGCGGTTGGTGATCATGTCTAGATTGATTTCCCAACTAGTTGGCTCTTTGTCTTGTAAGGCCTCTTAAAATATCTAAGGTTTGCGTTTTTGAGTGGCGGATGACATGTAGAGGTAGAGTTTGGTTTGAATTGTCTTTGTAAAGGAATTTTTTGATATAGGCGCCTCAGTTTTGAATTTTCTAGATTAAACATCCATGCTTTTTAGTGATTTGATTAAACTTTTTTTGTCATAATTTTGGTGCTATATGCACATTAGACCGTAACACTTTTCCTATAATCTAGCATTTTGATTACACTCTCCTCCTTTACAGATAACTGTAAAAAAAAAAAAATAAAAAAGTTGGTTGGATTCAATTTATTTTCACAATAATTCTACAATTTAGCCATAATTATCTACGATTTAAGATATTTTCTTTCCAAAATAGTTTAAAATATTTTTAAATCCTCCAAAATCAAACGTACCGAAATAAGTTTTGTTTTTAGTACGATAAGAGAAAATAGGATTGAGAATAATATAAACATACCAACACACAATGTGTACAAAATGAAACGTACCAAAATAAAAATAATGTACCAATATTAACAATATATATCAAATCAAACGTATCAAAATTGCAAATAAACATACCAATCAATGATTTTTGTACGTACACGCAGATAATATATAGGTAATGTATTGTACCTAATAATAATTCGTCAACAACTATACTTAAAAAAAAATACCAAAAAAATTATAATTTCACAAAAAAAATTGAAAAAAATTACATGGAGCTTTATGTCGATCACCAACTATTTGAAAAAGAAAAAACCATTTGGAAAAACAAATAAGATTAAATGTTTGCATAACATAACAAAAAAAAACATATTTGGAAGAAGAGAAAATATAGTTTAATTACTAATATCATCACTAAATAAGGAAAAATGCATCAATGCAGATAAAATGATAAATTCAAAAATTATTTTAATTTTAAAAAATAGAGGTGACTAAGGGTAAAAGTGTTTTAATTAAATTTTAAAAAGGCACAGATGTTTAATCTAAATAATATAGAAAAAATGTAGGTGTAAGATCTCACATCGCCCAGGAGAGTGATCTTTATATGTATATTTTCATCCATACCTAGCACAATGCCTTTTGGGAGTTCACTGGCTTCGGGTTCCATAAGAACTCCGAAGTTAAGCGAGTAGCGCGCGAGAGCATTCCCATGATGGGTAATCCACTAGGAAGTTCTCGTGTGAGTTCCCATAAATAAAACCGTGAGGGCATGGTCAGGGCCCAAAGCGGACAATACCGTGCGACAGTGGTGG